CCATCTTTCTCCAGCCCCTCCCCCCATCTTTCTCCAGCCCCTCCCCCTCCCATCTTTCTCCAGCCCCTCCCCCCATGTCGCCCCAACTATCACCTAACCTCCTGTCTCAGTGGTCAACACGCAACAAGCGTTTATTAAGTGCCTGCTGTGTGCCAGGCACTGAGGATACCCTCGGGCAGCTCCCGGGGAGGAGGGGTGGACTTCACCCCACCCCCCCCCTCCAACAGACCGCTCACCGCGCCTGGCACCCCTCCCCCTCCCCCATGCCTGGGACGCTCCCTCTTGCAGAGAGCCTGCCCTGATTGCCTCCTTTGATTCAGTCTCTCCCTTCGTTAGACTGGAAGCTGTCTGAGGGCAGGGCCTGCCTTATGCCTTTCTCTGCCTCTGCAGTGCTGCCTGGCACACAGGTTTTTAATAAATATTTGGTTTTTTCCTTCTCTCCTTGTCTGTAGTTTGTTGTTTACCTCTTGTCCCAGCCTTAGACTGGGAGCTCCTGGAGAGCAGGGACCGTCTTGTCCTCAGAGGAGCAGAGGGAAGGAAGTACCTATTAAGTACCTACTATGTGCCAGGCACTGTGCTAAGGCTTAGATTATTATTTCACCACAACCCTGGGACCCCCATTTTACAGATGAGAAAACCGAGGCAGGCCGAGGTGAAGGGACTTGCCCAGGGTCACACAGCTAGCATACGTCTGAGTCTGGATTTGAACTTGGGTCTTCCAGGTGCAGAGCATCCCCTCGGGGCCAACACAAGTGTTTGTGGACTGACTGAGCAGCCCTCGGAGGTACTGAGAGGTGCCGGGGCCCCACAGTCATTGGCTTTAGAACTGGAGCATGTTTTGAGATCCTGGGGGGATGGGGGTAGAGAGGTCTCCCCTCCCTGAGCCTTCCTCTACCCTCTTAGGACTCACCCCTGAGCTGCAGGTTCCGGAGGAAGAGGAGGAAGGAGCCAGAAGGGCCATCCCAGGTGAGTCCTCCCCTCTCTGTGGGGGGTCGTTGGAGGAAGGGTCCCACTGATGGAGGGGACAGCTCTTTGGGCCTCCCTTTTTGGCCCTTCTCTCCTCTCATTCTTTGTGGGGTCCATTTGTGACAAGGCCTCCTTTTCTGTGGCCCAGCAGCCTCTGTTGCCTTTGGGGAGCTCCTCTCCCTTGAGGGGATCGGATCTGGGCCTCCCAGGCTGCCACTTTGTCTTCAGGCCTGGGATGGACAGAGGAGAGGGGCCTGGTTGGGCGTTCCCTGGGGGATTTCTCCTCTCCTTTGTTTCTGAAGTCCTGGCTGCCAGGCTCCCAGGACCCCAGGCTCTGCCCCTCCTCGGACCCAGTCCTCTGAGGGGTTGGGTCCAGGGCAAAGTACAGGGGACAGTCCCCTCCCAGCAGCCCATGGTCCTGTGAGCTTTTTTGGTGGCAACCACTCAGACCCCAAGATCCTCTTCTGATCTGCTGCCCCCCCCCCCCCCGGGAAGCTGGTCTTTTGGTACCTTTTTCATCTCATGACCTTTGGCCCTTTGGGAGCCTGACCGTGCGTTGTGTCACTGTGGGTCTGAGGAGCCGTCGGTGCCTCCATCCTGGTCACTGATGAACATGGGAAATCATGCCGGGCCAGCGCAAAGCCCTCCTCCTTCGCAGCTTCTCCGGTCAGGTAGCCTGCTGTTGGGAAGACCCTTATTCAAGCCCCTCTCCTCTCCTTGCCCCCACTTAAGCACTGCTTGCCTCTGTTTCCTCCTCTGTCAATTGGGGATCACGTTCGCACTGACCTCCCAGGTTGAGATCGTGTTTGTAAGGTGCTTTGGATGGGGCCTGGCACCCAGGAGGCGCCTCATAAATGCTGCTTACGATTCTGATTGCTACTGCCATAATTACTCCCAGTCCAGAATCCTCCTCCCTGTCTTGTTGCCCTCTGATTTCTGTCTCCCCCAAATCAATCGATCTGTGAGGGGCTCCAGGGCTGCTGGCGCTGCTTGCTTCTGACCTTCCCATGATGGATCACAATCTGCAAGCATTTATTCGGCACCTATGGTGTTCGGGGGTCATGAGACAGTCTCCACCCTTTGTTCTGCAGGAGGCGGTGTGCTTGTCTGGTGCTGTATAACACAGATGCTCAGGGATTGGGGGAGAGCGCCTGAGCTGAGCCAAAGGGGAGGAAGGAAGGGTTAGCATTCCAGGCTGGAGGCCAGGCTGGCCAAGGGCGTGGAGGTGGTAAATGAAATGTCAGTTCAGGGGCTCGCAGTGCCTACTTTGCCCAGACAGCGTGAAGGGGAGCTGTGGTCGGTCAGGCTGGACCAGGATCCTGGAGCCAAGAGGGAATCACTGACATTTCTTGAGGAGGTGTGCGTCCTGGTCAGGCTGATGCCTAGGCCCAGGGTGTGACTGCAGCTGTGCAGGGGATGGGTGGGAGAGAGGAGAGCCTGGAGGCTGCTGGAGGCAAGGGGGGACAGCCAGGTCCTTGCACTGATCTTTAGGAACTGTGACCTTCCCCTCTCTGGGCCTCAGTTTACTTCCCTGTCAAATGGGGAGCTCTTGGGAGGACACCATTTTCCAGAAATGGGGGTGACCCTTATTGTTTGTATTAGTTGAGAAGCTTATGCAGAGAAGGGGAGGGAGCCTGGGGGCAGGGTCCTGGAGAGGGTGCAGAGGATGGGGGGAATAGCCCGGAGTCTATGCAGTGGGAGAGCCTGTCAGGGGCTGCCTGCCCGGAAAGACCTTGGCATCCCTTCATTCAGTACTGACCAGGCGCTTTTTTAATCACCTACTGTGTTCCAAGGCCTGGGCCAGGGGGAGGGGACATCCCTTGGCCTTCCTGGAAGGCGAGGGCTCTGGAAAGCCAAAGGTAGATTCGGTTCTGACCAGGCACTGGGTACAAAGAGAAAGGAGGAGCACCCTGGGGATTGGGAGCCTGCACAGACACAATGTATCCATTTTAGTTGCCGCAGTATAGCTGGAGGAGTGGGGGAGGGGCACCGCTAGGGCATCGGGAAAGGTCTCGTGGACAATCCCCCAGCCGATCTTTAAAGGGACGTGTTAACAGAAATTGTAAATGCAGTGCGGACGGGACAGGTCTCTAACCTGGGAATGGTGGAGGTGACCACAGAGCCGGTCAGAGGCAAGCTGCCAGAAATCAGGTGGCCGTTTGATTAATTCGTTTCAGAATGACGAACTCGGTTTGCAAACCTGAGGTTCTGAGAAGAAGACTCATCACCGTTCAGTGAAGGCAAAGCTTCTACACATAAATCACAAGTGTTGCAGGGGGTGGGGAAGGGGGATTACAACACACCCATTTCTGGGTCCTGAGAGGGTTCCCACAGCAAACCCCAGAGTGCAGGGAGATTCAGTTGTTGCCCAGCATTGTCTCAAACCTTGGGTGTCGTGAGTTCGTGGGTGTCGCAGAATTAGAGCTCTGTGACGAGAACAGGTTTACAGTCTTTGCTCGCTGCCCTTCAGGTGCAGGAGCACAAGAAGGTAGGAACTCTCAGAGGGATTTATAATTCTAAACGGCACCGTGAGTCTCTGACGCCCAAGCCAGAATCTCCTGGGAAACGGGGGCTCTGAGAAATCTCAATTGTTAGTATATTCATTGCACAAATCATATCGATTAATAAGAAGATCATAAGTCCCTTTACACAGGCAAAGGTTTGGAGAAACAGAGGTGAAGAGAGACAGCATGCCAGGCAGGAGGCACTGCCTGGGCAAAGGCACGGAAATGGGAGATCATTTGAGAAACATCAAGAAGGCCAATTTGACTGAAAATCACTTCTCCCTTTCTTGAGGGAAGGGGGGAATTAAGAAGCTTACATTCTAATGGGGGACACCTGAAAGAAGGATGACTGGCAAATTGAAGCTTTGAAAGCTCATCCATAAAATCCCAGGGATCTAGGGATAGAGTCAGTCAGGCAATAAGCATTTATTCAGCACCTACTATGTGCCAGGCATAAGCACTGGGGTACAAAAATAGGCAAAAAGCGGTCCCTGCCATCAAAGATCTCATCTAATGGAGACAGCAATGGATGAGGGAAAGCAATAGCAACTCAGTCAGGAAAGGGAGTTTGGGGACAGGTTGTGGAGGGCTTTGGAATGCCAAATGGAACATTTTGTATTTGGTCCTAGAGGCGATAGGGAGCCCCCAGGGATTATTGAGGGTGGTACACGGAGTGACATGGGGCTTAGGAAAATCACTTTGGCGAATGAGTGCAGGATGGACTGACGGGACCCCCAGCAGCCGTCACAATAGTCCAGGTGTGAGCCGAGGACGGTCTGTGCCGGGGTGGGAGCTGTCGGAGAAGAGGAGGGGGCAGATGGGAGAGATGCTGCAGGCATCAGGGATTGGTGAAAACGAGACAGAGGGAATTAGGATTCGGGAGAGAATGACTGATGCCTGGGTGAGACGCCTGGCTCACAGGACTGCGTGGTCCCGGCCCTGAGGGGACAGATGGGGGCGTCAGTTCGTGTGTCTCTGTCGGTGGTTTTCTCCTCTGCCAAGCCTTTCAGATCCGCATTTGGGGCCCGAGGATCTTCTGCTGGGAATGCACAGGGTCCTCAGCCTCTTTGTCTTGCAGAGATGTTTGGAACGATTTAGATGTCCTGGCGTCCATCTTCCTTTCTGTTAGTAATATCTTCCCTGTTGGTTTCTCTGCTCGGGCTCAAGATTTTTAATACATTTTATCTTCCTGAGAACTTTGGTCTTTCCCCCTTATATTCCCCTCTTGCTTACTTTCTGATTTCTTTTTTTCTTCTTTTTTTTTTTTTTTTTGGTTAGGCAGTAGGGTTGAGTGACTTGCCCAGGGTCACACAGCTGTTTAGTGTTATGTGTCTGAGGTTGAATTTGAACTCAGGTCCTCCTGAATCCAGGGCCAATGCTCTATCCACTGTGTCACCTAGCTGCCCCTACTTTCTGGTTTCTTACCCCAAGGGTTGAACCTCAAAGTTGTTGCAACCCTCCCCCGACCTCTTACCCCTGTGCTGAGAGTTTACTTTTCTTTTTGTTGTTGTTGAGGCAATCAGGGTTAAGTGACTTGCCCAGGGTCACACAGCTAGTAGGTGTCAAGTGTCTGAGGCTGAATTTGAACTCAGTCCTCCTGACTCCAGGGCCCGGTGCTCTATCCACTGTACTACCTGGCTGCCCCAAGAATTCACTTTTCACAGGCCTTAGACTCTACCCTCTGTTCCGGATGGCTGTGTGGCTGGGTGGGGGGCAGAGCTGAGTTCTGTTATTTGTTGCCCATGGGCCACTGGAGCCCTGAGCCTGGGGGCAGAGAGGGGGCACTCAGGCATGAGCATTTGCTGGCCAACAGTGCCATGAGGAGGATGGGAGAAAGTCTGTACCTGTCCCTGCCTCCCTATCTTGTTGGTAACTGACCTTGGGGTCCACCCTCTGCTTATGAGTAGCCGAGCATTGGGGTACCCTGGAGGATGGCGCACCAGGAAGTGCTTCATGGACTGAGGGTTTCCAAGAGCCCAGAGGGTTTCTTTTGCTCAGGTGTGTTTGCCAGGGGGCGGGGGAAGGGGTGGGGAAAGCTTGACTGGGAGGTGTCAGGGCTCCGTGTGTCCAAACCACCAGACTGGGCTTGGGAGACGAGGACCCATCTGGCAGGTCCAGCTCACCCCGACAGCAAGTAGTGTGAGGCCAGGCTGGAAAGGAGTGAGGAGCCAGGCCATATATAAGGCCAGAGGCCAGGGAGGGGGCCGGGAAACCAGTGCAGAGTGGGAGGATCCAGCCCCCAAGGACAGAGAGAGGAGATCCAGGAGAGGTGCCAGGAGCCGGCACCAGCTGCCCCTTTGAACTGGGTTTGGGGGAGGGGCAGCAGGTGGAAGAAGTGATCAGAGGGAAGAGGGGAGCGGGGAAGGGGCAGGGGAGATGCTGAGAAGGGAAGAGGACAGTGGAGCAGAGCGGGGAGCTGGACAAGAGCCTGTCTCCACACAGTAGGTGCATAATAATGCTCATTGACTGAGGAGGAGCCACATTTTCCACCACCAGGAAGATTCCTCGTAGATGTCTGACCTACTCGAAGTCCTTTGGGGAAAGGAATCCACGTTTATATAGCACCTACTATGTGCCACGCACTGTGCTAATATCTCATTTGATCCTTGTAAGGTGCTCTTGTGACCTCCATTTTACAGTTGTGGAAACTGAGGCAGGCAGAGGTTCAGTGACCTGTCCCAGGGCCCCACAGCTAGTGAGTATCCGAGGCCAGATTTGAACTCAGGTCTTCCTGACTCCAGGCCTGCGCACTGCAGCACACATTGTCTCAAAGATCCAGACAGGCCTGGCCCCCCGACTCCACTCACCCCAGGGCTCGTGATTTGACCTGGCTGCCCAAGACCCAGCCTGCCTCTAAGTTCCCAGAAGGATATTCCTGCCTGGGACCTTGTGGTCCAGCCACAATGGGGCAGGGCGCTCTCTCCCCTGGGGTCACCACCCACGCCCTCAGTGGCCCAGGCCGGCCCTTCTTCTGGCTCCTCTTCGCGCCAGCTCCAGAGTCCTGGTCCCCCCTCCCCCATCATTCCCAGGGCCTGAGACCCTCGGGAAGAGTCAGTGAATCAATCGAGAGGCAAGGATGGAAGAGAGAATGTTTAATTAGTATCAGCTGGTGGGCATTTGGGCCAAAGAGAAAGACACACACAGAGCATGGCTTACCCAAGTTAGGGCAGGTGGTAGGTGAGGCTGCTCAGCCACCTTCCTTGTTGGGGAGGTCAAGTCATGGGAACAGGATTCCAGGTGAGGGGGTGAGGGTGGGGAATAGCTTAACTTTAGGAGTAACCTGGGTGCTTCCCAAGTTCTGGTCGGTCCCCTTAGGGGTGTCTCCCTGGAGTCACTAATGCCTAGGATCAGGTCTGCCTCCAGCAGTACCAATACAAGCCAGAAGAATTTTGACTCTTGGCCTCTGAGGGGAGAAGGCAGGCGGGGAAGTGGGTAGGAGGTGACACTGTGGGGCAGGAGAATGAAGTTGGAAGGATGAGGGACAGCTGGGGGCCCTTCCTGGCCAGGGAGAAGGCAAGAGTGGGACATCCCTAGTGTGGTTTGGAAAGCAGGGAAGGTGGGCTCTCCCGAGAGCAGCAGCCGCACCTGTGGCCGCTGCCTCCCACTTCCTCTCCTCTGCTGGGCACCTGGCCAGCGGCTGCCCCAGCTCCGTCTCCTGGGCTTGCTGTCCTGTCTCGGGGCCACCTTTGTCCTGCTGTCACTGTGTGGGATGCCCGCCTACATTGTCACATGCTTTTCCTTCATTCCTGCCAGCCCAGGGAACATGTGCGGTTTTTATGTCTTTCAGACTGTCCCAAGGAGACAACCCATTTCTAAAGACCCAAAGACTCAGAGGGGATGTTCCCCAAGACCTCACACTTGGAAAAGCCTGTAGTGAGAACGCTGCTGGGATAGGATTGAAAGTCTGGGTAAGGACTACTCGTAGGAAACCCATTGCCCGGGACTCATGTCCAGCCCCTGCCAGGACACCCTGGCTGGGGAGAGAGAGGAATTTGGGAGAAGCTCGAATCTTGTTACCCAGGAGAAGGTGCCTGTAGGAGAGGGGCCCCAGCCCATGGTACCAGGTGAGGAGAACTGCACGCTGAGTCCACATCCAGCCGAGCATGAGGTAACTTGTGCAAGGAAGAAAAATGTCTGTAAGTGTGAGGAGTGTGGAAAAGATCTGAAGCTGCCCTTAGCCCTCATTGCCCACCAGAGGGCTCACACCAGAGAGAAGCCCTATGCATGTGGCCTGTGTCAGAAAGTGTTCAGGTGCAGGTCGAACCTCATCGGACACCAGAGAAATCACACCGGAGAAAAGCCCTATGAATGTAATGAGTGTGGGAAAGTTTTCATTCAAAATTCAACACTTACATTGCACCAGAGGATTCACACTGGAGAGAAGCCCTATACGTGCAGAGAGTGTGGCAAAGCCTTCAGGGGGAGCTCAGACTTAAGAAAACACCAGAGAATTCACACTGGAGAGAAGCCCTATGAATGTGGTGAATGTGGGAAGACCTTCAGGTGGAGCTCCCCCCTTATCAGACATCAGCGAACACACAGTGGAGAGAAGCCCTATCAGTGCGGTGAGTGTGGCAAAGCCTTCAGCCAGAGCTCGTCCCTTATTGAGCACCACAAGGTCCACACTGGGGAGAAGCCCTATGAGTGTGCTGAGTGTGGGAAGGCCTTCAAGGGGAGCTCAGACCTGAGCCAACACCAGAGGGTTCACACTGGCGAGAAGCCCTATGAGTGTGAAGAGTGTGGGAGAGCTTTCATGTGGAAGACAGCCCTCATCACTCACCAGAGGAGCCACAGTGGGGAGAAGCCTTATGAGTGTCCTGAATGTGGGAAGGCTTTTGTCCAGAGCTCACAGCTCACTCAGCACCAGAGAATTCACACTGGGGAGAAGCCCTATGAATGCAGTGTGTGTGGGAAAGCCTTCAGTGTGAGCTCCTACCTTATTGAGCATCAGAGAATTCACACTGGAGAGAAACCCTATGCATGCAGTGTGTGTGGGAAAGCCTTCATCCAAAGATCACACTTGACTCAACACCAGAGGATTCACACTGGCGAGAAGCCCTATGAATGTAATGAGTGTGGGAAAGTTTTCAGTGTGAGCTCCTACCTTATTGAGCACCAGAGGATTCACACTGGAGAGAAGTCCTATGAATGCAGTGACTGTGGGAAAGTCTTTCGCTATAGCTCCTACCTTATTCAGCACCAGAAACTTGACACCAGGGAGTAGCTGTGGTATGAGAGTGCCCTTGTCACCCTCGGTAACCATTCTGGCAGCCCCCTCCTCCCTTCCCTTGTCTATGCAGAGGCATTCTTCTTTTTCTCCTAACTCAGCCAGGAGTTGCCTGTTTTCCTTTCCAAAATTGACCCCTTCACATATTCTCTGCTTAGGAATTAGGGGGTCCAGTGGTTAGAGCACTGGGCCTGGAGTCAGGAAGACCTGAGTTCAAATCCAGCCTCAGACATTTACTAGCTTTGTGACCATGGACAAGTCACTATACCCCTACCTCAGTTTTCCTCAACTGTAAAATGGGAAGGGTATTGTGAAGATCGAGTGAGATATTTGTAAAGGGCTTAGCACGGTGGCTGCCACACAGTAGGCACTTAATAAATGCTTGTTCTCCCTTGTTTTCTTCCCACCCCCTCACCCCCCCAGTTTGGACAGATCTCCTGCAACCTGGAAAATGTTTCATCTCTTTCAGCATGATCTAGGTTCTCTGCTCCTGGGCTCTGCCAAGTGTCTCATGGCCTGGCTGCAGGCCTCTGCCCTAGAACGGCCTGCCCATCCTCCATGACCCCTGCAACTCTTGCCTGCTCTCCTCCTCCCTTAGCCCCCATGAGGCCTCACTGTTCTGATCTCCTACTTCCTTGCTGACCCCTTTTGGAGACGGACTGGGCCTGGTTCTGGGGTCCGCTGCCAGGGCCTGTCTCCAGACAGGATTCTATCCGGGGTGTCCCTCAGTTACTCAGTTCTAGGCAAAGATGGGACTGAAGTTATCTCCCTGGACCCTGTCCATCTTCTGTGTTCTGTTCATGATGCCTACCCTTCTCCCACCAAGCCCAGTGCTTGGCAGTCACCACAGTGGGTGAGAGAGAGAGTCTGGTATGGGACAGGAAGCGGGGATCTGGGGGAGCTGGACAGTACTGGGGTGCAGGAATTCTTTGTCAGGGGAGTTGGAGTGGCCCAGTGAGAAACAAAGTTATTCATGAGAAATAGATCCCTGTGGTGGGCTCTGGAACCAAGGCTTCAGTGGGGACACGGTCATTCCATCCCAACCCAGGCCATCCCACACACAACCCTTGATGCTTGTGTGGTGGTGTGGCTGTTCTGTGCCTGACCATTCTGAAATCACTGAGGCCTCTGGGCTTGGTGAGGAGGCCGAGCTCCTTAGCACCGAGAGGCTGAGAAGTCAGACCTCATCTGGAGTACTGGGCCCTGTTTTAGAGTGGTCTTGCTGACCAGGGGGTGGCTAGGAAGGGCCAGGAGCCCATGCCAGGGGATGGGGAGATGTCCAGTTGAAGGAACAGAGTTTGTTTAGACTGGAAAAGAGAAGATTCAGGGGACACAGAAGAGCTGTCTTTGAGTATCTGAAGGGCAGTCACCTGGGGAGGGATCAGATTCAGGGGATAGAACCAGGAGCCAAGGCAGGAAGAGGTCAACTGAGGCTCCAGGTCAGGCAGCAGCACCTAATGCCAGAGCCATCCTAGCGTGAAAGAGGTGTCCTGAGGGGAAGGGTGGTGGGTTCCCTCAAACAGGAACCCTTATTGAGGAAGTTATAATGGGGATTTGTGTGTGCATGTGACTAGGGCCTGAGGCTGTGAGGTCTCTCCCAATTCCTAGGAGTCTTTAAAAAAAAAATATTTCCATCTGAAAATATTTACTTCCTTCCCTTCCATGAAAGAGATACAGAAAAGACATGGGCAGCCCTAGAGAGATGTGTTTGTGTTTCGGAAGGCTGCCATGGCTAGGCAGAGAAACCAGGGCCAGCTCTGTACATGTGGCACACCCCAAGGGGTGGCTTCTAACTCCAGAGCTAAGCAAAGAGTGATTCAGATGTGGAAATGCACTAAGAGCCATATGAGCTCCACGATTCAGCATTTGTAAGAAAATTATTCTTCCCATTGAGCAAGGAAGAAAACAAAACCCTGTTTCAAGTATATAGCGTCAAGTCATTGGCCACATCAAAGAAGAAAACTGAGCCTGAGTCCTTCCTGTGCACCGGGAGGTGCCCCTTGGAGTGCTGACTGGTCCCCAGGCTGCTCAGAGTTCTTAGGTCTTTCCAAGGTTTTGTCTATTTGTCTATCATCCCCATACAAATGGCTCTGGTTCTGCTCACCACCCTCTGCAAAGTCTGTCCAGATCTCTCTGAAGCTGTCCCCTTCTTTAATCTACATGCCCTGCCCCCTTCTGTTTCCCTCTTGAATGAAATTTGTTTCTGTCCAATTGTGTGTGAGTTCTTCCCTTCTTTGGTCAGTTCAGTCACTCTCCTCACCCCCTCCCATTGTTTGTTCACCCTAATTATGTAAGATGATTTTCCCCATCCTTCCTCTCCTTTTCCCTATGTATTTCTCTTTCCTCCCTTTCCATTGTTCTTTTAAGACCATAAAGATATAAAAGAATCATTCCCAGTCTAATCAGATCTAATAGTTTGTCTAATTGGAGTCCATGTGTGATGCTTGATAATGTTAGGAGTTCTGAGGGGACACATAGATCATTTCTTCATGTCAGAATGCAAACAATCTAGTCGTTGTTTGTTCCATTACAATTATTCACTTGTCTTTATCCTTCTGTGTTTCTCTTGACTCCTGTGTTTGCATTTCAAAATTTCTATGCATCCCTGGTCTTTTTGTCAGGATTGCTTGGAAGTCTTCTGTTGCATCGAAGATCCATTTTTCCCCTTGTAGGATTATACTTAGTTTTGCTAGGCAAATTACTTTTGGTTTTAAGCCTGGACTTTTTGCCTTCTGGAGTATCATATTCCAAACTCTCCATTTCTTTATAGTGGTGTCTGGTAAATCATGTGTGATCTTGGCTGGGGCATCTTCACACTGGAATTCTTTCTTTCTGGCTGCTAGCAGTGATTTTTTTCCTTTGACCTGGGAGCTCTGAACTTTGGCTATGATATTCCTGGGAAATTTCATTTTGTGGTTTCTTTCAAGAAGGGACTGGGAGATTCTTTAAATAATTTGTCCTCTGATTCCAAGAGATCTGGGCAGTTTTATGAGTTTTTGAAATTTGCTGTCTCGACTCCTTTGTTTTGTTTTTGTTCATGATTTTCACATAGTCCAATTACTCTTAAATAATCTCTCCTCCATCTCTTATCTCCAGGTTTTTCTTTGAGGTGCTTTATATCTTTTTTCTATTTTTTGTTCAGTCCTTTGATTTTGCTTTAACACTTCTTGGTGTCTCATGGAGTCATTGGCTTCTATTTGGTCCATTCTGATTTTCAGGGAATTTGTCGCTTGGTCAAGGTTTTGTACCTCTTAAGTGCAAGTAGGGTTAGGGTTAGCCTTTTCCAGTTCTCTCTTCCATAGCTCTCATTTCTTTCCTTTTTTTCCCCCCTCTAGCACTCTCATTTCATTTATTAAAAAAAATTCTTTCTTTTTAAAAATTTCTTGCTTCATCTCTTCCAGCAATTCTAATTGAATTTGTGCACAAGCTGAGTTGCTGTTGTTTTTTGGCCAGGCAATGGGGTTAAATGACTTGCCCAGGGTCATGCAGCTAGTAAGTGTTTATGTATCCGAGGCTGGATTTGAACTCAGGTCTTCCTGACGCCAGGGCTGGTGCTGTATCCCCTGCGCCACTCAGCTGCCCCTGTGTTTTTTCTTTGAAGTTTTGCTTGTAGATGTTTTGGAGTCATTCTCTTCTTCTGGGTTTGTGCTTTGAATGTCCCTACCTCCACAATACCTTTTTATGGTGAGGTTCTCTTTTTGTCTGTGATGTTAGGACTGGACTGACCTTGCTGCTGATTTCTCGGGATCCTGAGTATCATGTTATTCTAGGATCTCAGGTGTAGCTCATGCTGGGGACCTGCAGGTGTTCAGTGCTCACAAGGTGGTCTGATCCAGGGCAGAGTCTGACTTCTGTCCTGGTCTGAGCTCAGCAATTTCCTGACCCAGGTTTGGGTTTGAGCCGCATGCCTGTGGGCCTGTCCCTGCTGGAATTTGAGTAGGCACAGGTCTTCTCCTCAGTCTGCCCTAGATCTCTGACCCAGAACTGGGTGGTGAGCACAGAGCTGCCATTGGCACCTGTTCCTGCACCACATATAAGCTTAGACCCCTCTGTTCCACCTGGGATAGTCTCCCAGGGTGGCCCCTTCCTGCCTTCTGGGAGAGGAGAGAAAAGTCATTCTATCAGCTCTTTCCACTGGTTCCTTCACCTGAACTACTAACATCTAAAGAGAGCTCTACCTGGAGGCCAACCCCTAGAGACTTTGATAAGTCAAATGAACTCGTTCACCGATGATTACAAAACTCCCACTGCTCCTATCCTCTCCATCTCTGTGATTCTTAACCCCCAGCTTTCATTCAAACCTTGTTCTCCATCTCCCCCTGCCTCTTTTCCCCAATCCAGTCATCTCTTGACACACTCAACCTCCTGCAGAATGTCCCCCCACCCTTTCCACTGTGCTCTCTGGAATGCCCATTCCATAGGTAACGCACTGGTTTTAATCTTAAATCTTTTCATCTCCTCCTCCTTCCATCTACTAGGTCTAAATGAAACCTGGCTCCCTCCGTGTGACCCGACCTCCCTCTCTAGTCCAGGCTTTCCCTTCACTCACTCTCCTTAGCTCACTGGTCAAGGTGGAATCCTTGCTCCCCAAAGTTCTCTCCCTCCATCACTCAGTGACCTCTCCTCCTTTGAAGTTCATGCTGTTCACATCTACCACCCAATCAGAATCCTGGTGGATTTTGTCTACTGACCTGCTCCCTGCCCCCCACCCCCACATTTCCCTCCCTTCTTCAATGAGATCAGGACGTGGCTTCCAATTTTTCTCCCCCCTCCAGCTCCTGCCTTCTTACCGGAGGACTTCCACATAGACACTGACTCTCCCTCAGATACCCAAACCTCTCAATTCCTCCACACCTCTCGGCCACACACAAAGATGGCCATACCCTGGACCTTGGCATCACCCATAAACATAGCACCTCTGTGGTCTAGAATTCTGGAATCCCCTTATCCGACCATGATCTACTGACTTTCCCCCTCTCCCTCTGGCTCCCCTTACATAACCCTGCCCTCCCTGACCCCTCAGCCTTCTCTCCTGCACCAGCCACCCCCTCCTCTTCTCCCCATCTGGACCCCTTGGGAAACCAGATCAGTTCTACTGTCCTCCTGTCGTGAATCCCTCAAACTCTTATCGTATCCCCCCATGCCCCCCCAAGCCTCAGCCTTGACTCACTCCCACCATTCACCTCCATCACACATAAACATGATGGTGAATGAAGGTGGAGAAAACCAGGCTCTGACACCCATGCTGGACCTTCACTGCTGCCAGGCAATCACACTCATCCTCCCTCATCAGCTCCCTTTCCCCCTCCCCACTCTCTCAGCTGAGACCCTGCCTCCTAAATCGAGGCATTCACCATGAGCTCCCTCTCCTCCCCTCCCATCCCCTGGTGCCTTCTGCCCCTCTCCTCCCATGATGAGGTGGGGCTGACCCCTGACCAAGGCTGACCCCTCCACCTGCCCAAGTGGCCCCCTTCCATCCCATCTCCTCCAAGAGATCGCCCCTCCTCTGTTACCCCCCCCACTTGTCTTCAGTCTCTCCCTCTCTCCTGTCTCTTTCCCTGCTGCCTATAAACATGCCCATGTCTCCCCCATCCTGAAAAAACCCTGTTGACCTTTCCATCCCCGCTATCTTGCTCCGTTCTGCCCTTTGTGGTGAACCTCCTCAAACAATTACAATGGTGTCTCCTCTTCCTAACCCCTTATAGCCTGACTTCTGACTTCATCATCCCATCCAAACTGTTCTTTCCGAAGTGACTGGTGGTCTCAGTGGCCAGATTCAATGGTCTTTTTTCAGTCCTCGTTCTCCTGGCTCTGCCACCAAAGTGATTTTCCTGAAACGCAGGTCTGGTCTTGTCACCACCCCCGCCCCCCACACCCATGGTTATCTCCAGTGGGCTCCATCACCTCCAGGAATAAACATATAATTCTCTGCTTGGCATTCAAAGCCCTCCTGACCCAGCCCAGGCTTCTTCCGCCTCACTCCCCCATACCTCCTCTGGGACCCCATGCCTTCAGCCTCCTGGACATTGTGCTAACAAGGCCCTCCATCCCCTTCTCTCTGGCTGCAGCCCTCCAGGCCTGGCACACGCTGACCATTGACCTCCCCAGATTCCCTTAAGTCCCAGCAAAATCCTCACCTTTGGCAGGAAGCCTTTTCCTGTTCTTCTCGGGCTTCGTGCTCTCTTTCTGTCCAATATTTCCTATTTATTCTGTATGTCACAGGTTTGTTTGCATTGTCTCCACCCCTCCCCCCATTAGACTGAGCTCCTTGAGGGCAAGATGGCTTTTGCCTCTGTATCCCCTGTGCTCTGCACAGTAGCTGGTATAGGGCAGGCACTGAATAAATGCTTACTGTCTGACTGACTGGCCCTCTGTGCTGGACCTGGCACAGCCCACGCCTGGACAGACCCTGTCCTCAGTGACCAAAGACCTCTCTGTTTTCCGATGCCGACCTGACCTGAAAGGATGGTTGCATTTTTTTAAAAAATTCCAGATCAGGATTTGGCCTGGTGTCTTTCCTCCATCTTTTTGGAGGAGTCAGGAGCCGGGAGGGTTGACTCCGCCTCCCCCAGCATTTCAGATTCTGAGAGAAGACTGAGTCGGGTGGGAGAGTGGAGAGATGCAGGCTGAGTGGCAGGGCTTGGGTTTGAATCCCTCTGCTGAGGGAGCTGAGACCTTGGCTTCCCCTTCTGAATGGGCACTGCCGACTGTGGACTTGGGTCAGCCACTGACCCCGCCACATATCCAATAGTTGGCCGAGGTCCTGGATGCAGTGCCATAAAAAGGGAGGCTTCTGGAGGGATCTCTAGTGGAAAGTGGACAAGATCCAGCCCCAGCCTGCCCTCCAGAAGCATGAGGGAGCAGGCTGTCCAGGAGGGGGACCCTGCATGGGCACATGTAAGGCAGGTGGGAGGGGCTATCTGAGGGCTCCGTGGAGGAAGACAGGTGGACAAGCTTCCCTGATGGTTGGGCCCTGCTGGGGGGTGGGGGAGTTGGTGGTGACTCATCACCTGTGGTCCTCCCCCAAATCCTTGGCCTGCACTCAGCCCAAGAGGCCCAGGAGAGTCTGAGTCAGCAGCAGACCTGACCAGTGCCCTAGGGGAGGCAGGGGCAGAGGGAGAGGACCCTCTCTCCTGGTGTCCTGGATCCTAGTTGGGGCATTGGGCCAGGTCTTAGGCCCGGACTGCCTTGGAATCAGCTGCTCTGCAGGGTGTGTAGGGCCAGTCTGACTCTCAACAGCTCACATACATGGGGAAAAACTGAGGCCCAGAGAATGGCCAGTGCCCAAGAGACTCACCCCCTTCCCTGCCCTGGGCTTCTCTTTCTCAGCCGCACTACCTTACAGAAACCCTGGGAGGCTGGGGCTAGGGGCTTATTGGCCCCATTTCTTGGAGGATGATGTTGAGGGCTGGGATCGGGCTTCTCAGAAAGGGAACTTTGTTTCCAGCCCAGGCTGGCCGCCATGTTGGCATCCTCCATGACGTGTCCTGGGGAGTTCTTCCTGCTTCCGTGGGTACTTAGAGATCGCTGAAGCCAACCCCTCATTTCATAAAAGGGGAAACCAGAAACCTGGAGGTTACTAGGCAGGATTCACACCTAGGACTTCTGGTCCCCGACCACCTGCCTGGGCAGCCTTAGTGTCCTTCCCTGTAAGATGATTATCTCTCTCCCCTCCCCACCCCCCAGCTCTGTGAGGGAGCCTGGATCTGAACACCAAGCATCTGTCCTCGAACCCTGGCTCAGTCACTTGCTCCCTGTGTGGTTCTGGGCACCTCAGTTTCCCCTCTAAAATGAGGGTCTTGGCTTCGAAGGTCTCAGGAGCCCTTCCTAGCTCTGACAGTCCTGCCCGTGTTCCTTGTCCGCTCTTCAGTGAGTCTGGCGGGAGCCCATGTTCAGGGAGCAGGACGCCATGTGTGGGTAGCCAAGGCAGGCTGAGATCTGGAAAGGGCTGCTAGTGACCTGCAGAGCCCTTTTCCCTCCCATTGGGAGGGAGCACTTCAGCCTGCACCCACAGGGGCTGGTCCTTCACTCCTCTGGCCTTCCCTCCCCTCACTGTAAGCCCCGACTCTGAGGTGTCCGAAAAGGCAGCCCACCACTCTAACAAGAAGACTACAGCCTGGCCTGAGACCAAGAAGACAGGCTTCCATACCCAGCTTGGCCACAGCCTGGTGCCGAGGCCAGTCACTTGAGCTCCCTCGGAGAGTCAATTTCCTCATCTGTGAAATGGGCACAATAAAGCCCCTGAGTCCTGTAGGTAGCTAGCTGTCTCAGAATGCCCAACAAGGGGACGCTGTTCGGAGACTTCCCTGGATTGGAGCTCCCCCCACCCCCCTGAGACACTGTGTGAGAGAAGCAGCATCTTTGTTACCATCACCCCCTCTGGCGCGACCACCGACCCGTCCCCTGCTCATGCCCGGGCCCTCAGAGGAGTCTCCCACCCTCCCGGACGGGTGGTGCTGGTTCTTTGGCCAGGCCAGGGCCCATCCTCAGGGTCGTGCCCCGCTCAGCTCTGCCCCCGTCACCAGCTCCTAAACCCTCTGAGCTGCTAGAGTTACTTCCCCTCCCTCCTCCCGGCATCCGGAAACGGTGACATGTACATTTTCAATCTTTTTCAGACTGGGAGGCTAGGACTGAGACCAAGGCGTCTACGAGAGGACATTTCTGAAGACCCGGGGACAGGAATGGCAAGACTAGAGGGGAGTGGGCCCCTGGGTCCCATACTTGCTGAGGCTTGTGGACCTGAGGACACACTAGGGAGGCAGAGGGAAGGCCCCGTTGGGGAGACTCCGAGGTTACCCGGTCCCAAGTGCACAGCATGGGCACCCACAGCGTCCTTCTCCCTTGGGAAAAGCCCCAGAGGGGAGGAAGGCCGCTTGGGTCTGAGCTCATCCCCTCCGGGAGAGAAAACCCTTAGCCCAGAGGATGCCAGAGCAGAGAGACAGAGTCTTCCCTCAGGAATCCACCAAAGCCCCACTGGCGACAAGCCCTATGAGTGTGGCGAATGTGGGAAAGCCTTCCTGCAGAATTCAGCCCTTACCCTGCACCAGAGAGTTCACACTGGAGAGAAGCCTTACCAATGCCACGAGTGTGGCAAAGCCTTCAGGTGGAGCTCAGACCTCAGAAAACACCAGAGGATTCACACTGGAGAGAAGCCCTATCAGTGCGGCGAGTGTGGCAAAGCCTTCGGCAGGAGTTCATCCCTTATCGAGCACCACAAGGTCCACACTGGGGAGAAGCCCTATGAGTGTGCTGAGTGTGGGAAGGCCTTCAAGGGGAGCTCAGACCTGAGCCAACACCGGAGGGTTCACACTGGCGAGAAGCCCTATGAGTGTGAAGAGTGTGGGAGAGCTTTCATGTGGAAGACAGCCCTCATCACTCACCAGAGGAGCCACAGTGGGGAGAAGCCTTATGAGTGTCCTGAATGTGGGAAGGCTTTTGTCCAGAGCTCACACCTCACTCAGCACCAGAGAATTCACACTGGAGAGAAGCTCTATGAATGCAGTGTGTGTGGGAAAGCCTTCAGTGTGAGCTCCTACCTTATTGAGCACCAGAGGACTCACACTGGAGAGAAACCCTATGAATGCAGTGTGTGTGGGAAAGCCTTCATCCAAAGATCACACTTGACTCAACACCAGAGGATTCACACTGGAGAGAAGCCCTATGAATGCAATCATTGTGGGAAAGCCTTCCGCTACAGCTCAGACCTGATCCAGCATCACAAGCTTCATACTAGAGAATAGATGGGGCAGTATTGTTGTCTCTTTGAGAGCCAAGCTAGCTCGTCATACCACGTGGCCTCCATCTCTTCCTCGTGTCTCCAGCCTCCTCCCCACTGCCTCTTTGTCCTCTTTTCCAAATGTGCCCAGATCTCCCTAACCTGAGAGAGCAAAGGCTCAGCCTGGTTACTACCTCAAGCTCTCCTCTAGTTCTTCCTTTTCTCCCTCCTTCCTCCTCCCTTCCTCCTTCCTTCCCTCTTCCTCCCCCTTCCCTTTCTCTCCCTCCTCCTTTC